TTTTCAAATGTTTGATTGCATTACCGTAAGAGACGTTTTCACCAACCTGAAAGTAATGTCGTTATAACGCTTTTTGCGTTGTAATCATAAAATGGCCGTTCTCAAAATAATTTACGGCTATATACCCATCCAAATGTGCCTTCAAGCTGTTGAAAATACCGGAAACGCCTACAAGAGTCCATCACTGCTGACGGCCGCCATTTTAGAGGAGTAATCCTTATAAACTTAATGTAAAAAACTACATACACTACTGAATCGAAAAATATAAACATTATTTTCGTAAATTCAGTAGTTTTTATTCTATAACCCTTTAAAATCGATGCATAGCTTAGCCCACCTCGTATTATTAGTTCAACTAAAGAGTATTTTAATTTTCGTTACACGGAAAAAAATAATTATATTATAGTTAATAGTTGGATAAATTTTAGTTGAGAGAACAACATTTCTATTGATATAATATTTTTTTTGTTAAAATTATTATTTACATTAAATATCCTTGTTTTATTTTATGAGTATAGTAATGTTGAGCGATATTATAAATAGTTTTAGTTAATTCATAAATATTGTCCAAACGTTATAAATGCTTGGATGTAATATAATGCAATATTATGTATAATAATAATTTATGTGTATATTCTTTTTTTTAAAATTTCATTATTTAAGTATTAGAATTTTAATGTATATTTTTTCAATAGTCAGTCAATACTCAACTATTAACTTTATTATTCACTAAACAATATTTTTTTAAATATTAAAAAGAAAAAAATGTTTGATAGCTAATTTAATATATAAACTATAATAATAATATTTAGTCTATTGTGATCATGCACTATACTTGATTTGCAGCAGGTATTTGTTAGGATAGTCAGAAAAAGTAAAGTAACGCATATAAAAATACAACTCTCTGAACACTTGAGTCCAAATTTTAATTGATATTTTATATTTTGTTTTCTGTTGTCTGTTCTTTGATTATTTATGAAATATTTTTGCCTAGTTGGTAATATTTAATTAAATAAATAAATAATTGAAAACATATTGTTGTTATTGTTAACCATATAGTGTTGAGGTTTAAAAGGCTTGTGAAATAACTGTTTGCATTTTGTATCATTTCAAAAAGCACACCGTACGGTTTACTCCTCGTAACGTAAACTTTTTATACCTACATATTATTATATTCACATTTTAATACGATGGATAGTATGACAAACGAAATGAAGATTACTGCGACTTCAATTACAGAAAAACTCAACAGTCTACCAGTTAAAGTTTTGGGAAGCCAATAAGTACTCCCGAATCCAATAAAAAAAATATATACTAAGTCGATGGCAAACATTCATATTTTGACGACTGGCTGCGATGGTGTTAAAGTTGAACCCGTCGAAATCCCAGTGCAACAACCACCAATAGCACCACCTTATCGTCATCGACTGATTAAATTGCCAAATTACGCCGGGCCGCAGTTTAGGCAATTGATGGCCATAGTAAATGCCGCATTGATGGCCCCACCCGCAGAAGTCAAGATCCTGTCCCCTCATTCCTCGTCGCAAATTTCGGATGACACCAGTAAAGATCATTCCGATTTTACCCGTCCACCCGCAAGAAGGTGTTTATCAATGCCGAATATTTCAATAAACTTGCCGCCTACAGATATTATAGAAATAGAGGACATCCCTATGCCAATTTCACCACATATTTCTGATATCGAACCTAGTACAGTAGTTCCGCCTGTTAGCAAACCTAAAAGAAAACGCCGTTCCTTGTGGAATAGAACAAAAAAAGTTTCTCCGTCGAATGTTATGTTGCGCATAATGCAGTTTGTTATTGTTTACTAGTAGGATATTTTGATATGTTCTGACACCTGAGCCCCGAGCCCCGAGCCTTGAGCCGCCGCCGACGCGCGACATACATGTTATCAGTTATCACATATCTCATCAGTTTTATATACGTACACGACTTATATTGTTATCACACTTGTTAGCAGTTATATACGTACTCGGCTTATATTTTACCGCCGTTATTGTTATCAATCATACATTTGAATTTATTCGTGCATATACATATATTTTTTGTGTATCACCTGCTACCGTATTTAAATAAATGACTATTTGGAAATTCGTACGACCTGCTCGTGTCGCCAGGACGTCACTGACTCGTAATGTATATTCTTACACCACCCATATACAATTCATCGATAATCAATTAATTATAATAAAATTTCGCATTCTCTTGCGGGCTGCGATAACTCGTCATTTTAATTTTATTTTTATAATTATTTGATGTCGCATTGTCGCTGCAGAGTGCAGACCGCAGACTAGTTAACCTTATACTCAATACTCATCTATAATATATCATAGGTATGCACTTGGTTCTCTTACTTTTTATAAAAAAGTCACGTTACGATTACTAAATACGAATTGTCTGTTATAAACTGTTAATTGTTGTTGTTGCCTTATTTTTGCACGTTATACCTTATGTTTTTTTTTTTCAAATTGTTATATACTTAAATTAAATAATATTATGGCCGATGAATTTGTGGTTGATATTTTAAAATCAATAAATTTACCGCAAGAAATAATTGATTATTTTAAAGGTAAGTTTTATTCTATAATACATATACAATTATACACTATACATATTAATATTTATAGCATCACTAATTGTCACCTATTTAATAAGATAATATTTGAAATTTAATATAATTGTAGAATGAATAGAATTAATAAATCAATTTACATAAAATGTTTATAAACTAATTATACTAATTATATAATCATAGCTAATACTGTAATCTTATATAACAGACTAGTAATCAATTAATTTATATTTTACTTTTGTTAGATCAAGAAATTAATGAACATGCATTTAAATTTTTAAATGAATCGATGTTGAAAGAATTAATACCTACTAAAATAGGTTATAGATCCTTGGTGTGGCGTAAGATTGAGAGTAATAGTCTATGTTTCTTTTTGTAGCAATAAAAATAACTAGAATTTAGTAATTTATATAAAGGTATATGTAGGTACAATATATTTATTTATGCTTGGTTTTTGCAACTTTGTAAAGTTACAAAATCCAAACACCCATAAGCGTGCGCAAACATTATCGGCTGGAGTAATTCTGATTTTTGTGCAACACTGAGAGTACCTATTACCAGGTTACAATTGTAACTTTTGCTTAGTTAATTTGTAATAATAATAATAATAATAACAAAAATAATTATTATTCCTTATAACAATATTATTATAATAAACTAAAAGTTATATCTATGCACTTTAATAACTCCATGTACCAATGTATCGGTTTGCAATTTTGATACTCTGTTTTTTTCGTTATTTTATAGAAGGAATCAAATATTGATTATAATCTATTTTCTGATGGAAATTTCAATAAAATATTAATGACAAATGTTATAAATAGTTGCAGTTTCGATTATAACAATTCTCAAATAGGTAGTTAAACATTTAAAGATATTTTTATTATCTTTTCAAGTATCAGTAGAATTACGTTCCATTTTTAAATAATATAACAAATAGTTATGACAATGACAGTTATTCTATTGATGAGCCAACTGATGAAACTAGTGTAACCATAAATTCCTTTAAGCATAATGTTCATAATAAATCAATTATATTTATAAGTAAATGGTACAACGAATCTGTTATACCCATGGTCGCCCATTAGGGGGGGGGCAAGACAGGGCACTTCCCCCCCCCTGGAAAAAATATTACCACAATATTACCTTATTACCGAGGCAAATTATTTGTTGAAATCACTTTTAAGATATGAAATAAATATAAAAATATACTCATTGTTATCGTATATTAACATCATAGATAGGTCGTATTCTGTAGTCTGTATAACCTATACGTAAAATAATTTATCGCAGATAATTTGTGGTAAATCTATAAAGATCACAATATAGGTACTAGAAATATTTTAACTTAACGCAAACAAGGATACTTTCATTCAGGATGTCATTAATATGTTTGAAATAAAACGAAGAAATTTACAGTTCTTATTTACTGATACCGAATAATATACTTAATTATATTATTTAATTTCTATTTTTTTTATATACTTATTAAAATTATTATTTATTTATTTATTTGCATGGCAATTATTATATTAATACACTATATATATATATATATGTATATAATATATATATACAAATAAAAATATAACATGCATGTATAGTGTATACATTTATATGTGAAAAATAACATTAAATCTTTATTATCTTAAATTCGAAAATTTTTTTATTTTGACCTCCCCTAAAATATTACCTATGGGCGCCCATGGTTATACCTAAAAATAAAGTACAAACTATAATAAATGATGTTAATATGATGCAAGAAACAAATATTAGTATATTAAAAATTAAAGTCTTAAACTTGCTTAATGAAAGTAAATGTGAGTTAAATTCTATTTCTAAAATAACTTCTATGTTTGATATTATTAAAAATCCATTTGATAAATTAGAATCTGAATTTTTGCGTATAAAAAAGTTAAAACAAATGGGAGTGTATAGATGTCTATAGTGTACTATAAGTATTATCCATATTATAGTACAATACTACAAGACGTTTAAAAATGTATCAGATAATTTTAAATATAGATCTATTATGTTATAAATAAAAAAAATACATGGAATAAAGCATTTCTATTTTAATAAGTAAATTCATAACTTGAAGTTTAACATTTAACTTTTAAACATAACCTAACGACTATTATTCAAATCTATAGTACATAGTATTGATCAGGTATAAACTGATAATGTCTTAGTAATTATTTATGTCTACACACAAGTATATATTATAGTTCATTAATTTTCTTTTTAAGCGTACTTCAATCCAACTGAGTTATTAATAACATATCTAATCGTATTAATCAAAAGGTAACTAGCACAATTAATAACATATTATAGAACTACTTATAGATAACATTATATAAACGAATTCAATGTTATAAATATATATATCTATTTTAGTTGCATCAAATTAAGAACTTAAATATTTAGAAAAAACATTTTATACGTACGAGGAAACGACAACTCACTAATATTATTTTTTTTAGGCAAGATTTTTATAGAACCATATTTCACTACTAATTCAATAATCTTAAACGTAGATATAACTATAGGTTTCGGTACAATCGAACATCTACAGCTAACAGTTAGCGAAAAAATTGCAATATAATAACAATATAATAATCGTTTGGTTAATTATGATACACATACAGCGCGACATGTCTATAAAAATATCAGAGTTAATGCATCATATATTCTTAATTTCTAAGTCAAAAATCTACCATCAACTAATTTAATAACAATAAATAAAACATCGATAAAACTAATTTTACGATTCTAATCGCTCACCATTACGTTTTACTTCAACACGATAATGTAATAATAATAATTATAATAATAACATTAATAAAGTATCTTAACTGATTAAAATGTTTTGATAAATAACTGATTATTTCTTATAATTAATGTGTGAAGATCCAATTTCTTCAAGATGCCTTTACTTCTTCTCAGGAGACTTTTCCGGAGATATTCCACCCACGTTCATTCCTTTGTGTAACATATTATTGATATTCTCGACTGCTTCGTCTTCAGCGTGTATTTTTCTCAGTGCATTGCTTACGATACATAAGTCACCTCTTAGCTCCGACACTAAAGCCACGATTTTGTCTGTATTGCTCAAAATTTCCACGCTCTGCGTGTAAGGGTTGTAACGTATACCAAACGGCTTTTGAATACTATCGGCAAATTCTCTAAAACAAAAACCAATAAAAATGTAAATCGTAATAAAAATAACAAACAATTTAATGCACTTATTCTAAGTAATTTAATAAATATTTTCCATTGATTATCAATAGAGCGCGGATTTCTATGAAATTGCGTATTTTTTCCCATTTACTTTTTTAGATTTTTATCAGTTATCTTCACGAATCATAACAATTTGAATTTAATGATGAATTTTTTTTTTTTAGCATATTTCTGCATATTTAATAGTTATTGCATATTTTTGCATATTTCTACAAAATTCGAAATATATTACATATTAAAGCAAAAATTGTATAAAATGACATTTTGTCAAGTAGAAACATTAAAAATAATTTTTTTGGTATTAAATTATAACCATAGCGTGGATTTATATGCAATCGTTTATTATTTTCTTTTTCACTTTTTAGATTTTTTTCAGTTGTGTCTTCACGAATCATAAGAATTTGAATCTAATGGTAAAATTTTATTTGTAAATTTCTGTATATTTTTACAAAATTCGAAATTTATTGCATATTAAAACGAAAAATGTTTGTATATTTAGTTTATTTAAGTAATTATTTATTTCAAATTGTTTAATTTAAAAATTTTATATAAAATTAAGTTTCTTGCATATTTGTTGCATATTTTTATGATTTTTACTGCATATTATAATATGACATATTTCGAATTTCGATACTTTTTAGTGCATAAAAATCCATGCTCTAATTATCAACAATAGACGGTTAAAATATATATATAAAAAAAAAATGTATGAAAAAACATTACATATATTTAACAATTAATGATATATGGTTATCAAATAAAGATTGTCTATTTAGAATTTTCAATTTGAAAATAAAATTAGTTTTAATTTAAACTAAGCTATAACTATTATGTATATATTTTATTTGAATAGTTTTTTATTAAGATATGTATAATGTAAATTGTTCGTAACTAATAAAAAATTATAATTAACATATTAATAATATACTTATACAAATATAATTTTGCACTATCTTCTAAATTAACTCACAGCAGTTCCAATACTGATTAGTCTATAGGTAGCTCAAATAATTTATAATTCAAACAAAATATACACCAACTGTGTTACTAAAGTACATGCTAGATACAAGCTTAATTAATAAATTTTGGCTTTTGAAATGTTCATAAAATATAATGAATATAATCCTTATTTTATAAAAATAATAAAAAAAATTGTAGTAATTCTCTGCAGAATTGAAGTGCATTAAATTTGATTAAATGGCCTTAAAACCTATAAAAATGATGTGTTCTAATTACAAATTTTACAACTCTAAAAAATTGTATGTCAACATTTTATTATTATTATTTTTTTTTTTTTTTTTTGATTGGCTCTTATTTATTGAATTATATAATATATCAATGAAAAAGATTTTTTTGCAGTTTCCCATATACATACATAGATTTTAATTACCTCATTTTTTCTTTAGCTTCTTCAAATGTCTCACTATAATAGTAGGCATTTTGGTACGATGTTATAATGCATTCTTGGTGACACGTAACTTCGGGATCGAATCGCTTTATTTTATCGTTAGTTTCAATCGCATGTCGTAACTCCGCCACCGAGCTTAACAACCCAGCTCCATAAACTTTCATTTCACCGTCTTGTTTACACATTCCGAATTCCACGGTGAAGAAGTATAACTAAAGTATGCATAAAATCATAGTGTAATTTAATTGAAAAATATTATAAATGCAAATATATATTATATATTTCTATGATAGTACAGTACTAGATGTATATTACAGAAATCCAACAAAATGAAAATTGATCTACCTATATTTTATCTTTTGCTTTACTTTAGTTAAAATATATACTAAAATACCAGCTGTAAAATTCCTATGAAAATTAGTTCATCCATTTCTAAGTATTTTCGGGCGAACGTCAAATATCCAATTTGTGCGTGTTTAATGATGTATTATTACATTTAATCAAGTTTATTTACAAATTTTGACGTATATAATTTTGATATTATATATTTCAATATTTGTGATACACAAGGTTAAAATGTATAAAATAATTAATTAATAAAAAAATTTTAATGAGTTGTAAAATAAACGATGTTTATATATGTCGTCATAACGTACAAACTTTAAGGTACCCTAGAATTGTTAAAATATAATTGATCGTGAAAATAATAAGGTTTTTTAAATAGATTCCAGCCAACTTTAGGCATTGCCCTAACAGTGATAAACAAAAGAAATCAAATTATATATCAATTTGGATTTGTATATACGTTTATCCAGTTCTCCGTGCCATTTATAAAGTATTTTTTATAAAATATAGAATATAATATACAATATTTAATAACTATTTTTTTTTCTGTAATTAATGGAAACTATCCTATATAATAATTATACACAAAAAAAAGTTTAATTTTCGCTAGTGAAAACAAAATTGATGCACAATCCAACATTTAAAAGTTTAATTCCGAAATGGAATTTACGGCCCACCCTAGGGTCCCAAGAATAGATTTATATTATATCAAATATATATATATATTTTTTTATTGGTCAAAAAATGTGGATTTACGTCATTTTCTTTTATATCATGTTATAACCATAATTAAACAACTTATGTTTCACTCACTGTTGCTAACTTTTCGACGTCCTCGTCACTGGCACCCAACGAGTTGAGTCCTAGTTCTTGCGAAAATTGTGCAAACGTGGGATTAGCCAATAGTGGCATGTGGCCCAATAGCTCATGGCAACAATCGGGTTCCGGTGTGTAGAATGGATCTGACGAATGTCTGATATACTGCGTGCAATGGAATACGCGAAAAGCCAGTCCTGATAGAAAATCCCTCGGCGACAAGTACCCGGCAACCGGTCGTAATTGAAAACCAGTTTTACCTAAAATTCAAACGCAAAAATCAACGAATTATTTCCAATCGGCAACCCTATGCTAGTTGCTTAATCATAACCGTATTAAAAGGAGCGTGATTTATGTTTTGGGTGTATTTTAATTTTTTATTAGGTTATTGGTTAAATTTCTTATATTAAATATACATCTTCTTTTTAAATGATTGAGCATTTTAAAGTACATATTTTGATCAAAAAACAAATGTATTAAACATTTCTGGATTATTTTATTATTAAACTTGAATGAATTGAAGAGGTCTTTCTTCTTTTAAAAAAATATTTATTTATAGGTATCCCTTCTGATAATACTTTAATTAATAAGCATTTAAATATTTAAGTATGCGCATGTTTTTTTTTTTTTTTTATTGGCGAGGGATCCACTATAATCAGTTGATAAAAAATTTCGATTTTTAAGTTTGAGGGTAGTTTTTTATAACAAATAGGATATAGACTGTAATTTAAATAGGTCAACATTCAAGAAAAACAAACAAAAAACCATGAAATAATGAGAATTTTTATGCTAAATTAGATCATTTTTTTATTTTTCATTATTCCAAAACGAATAACCGAAAAAGTTTAAAATTTTCACCAAGTGATTAAATTACCATTTTCATGGTAAAATTTTTTATTTTTTTTCATAAATTTTGAAAAAATAAACAAAAATGTAAAGTTCTTTAAAATATAATTAGATTCTTAATAATCAGTTCATTTCTCAATTAAAAAATATCGAAAAATTTTAGTTACAACATTTTTTTTATAACCATTTAAATTTAGGATTTTTACGTAATCACATAAATTACAAACAAGTATTTTATAGTAAAATGTTTATAAAATCTATTTAGTTTTTAAAGCTTAAATTTTTCGAACGTATTATAATATTCCTTATAAGTTGATATAATATGGTATAAATAGATATTATTATAATAATTTAATACTTGTCTTATAATATAGCAAATACAATATTTTTCGAAAAAATAATATCAACATACATACTATTATAGTAATAATAAAATAAATGACTGATAGTTAAATAAAAAAAGAAATATTCTTAATGATTTAAGCTAACTTTTCTGACAAACTGTCTTCATTAGGTTAAGTGCACATATACTGTCAGAATATACTTGTACTGTCAGTATAAGATTTAGTACTAAAATTCGGAAATGATATTACTGATAAAATAAACCTCCAGAATTTAGCTGTTATCACATTATTTTTGTCGCTATTAATTAATATTGTTACATTAAATTGATCTATTGTATCGTCTAGCACTATAATTATTACACAAGAATGCCCTTCAATAACTTTTGTACTAAAATTGCTTATACACCACGCCGCCGCCCAATAGATATAATTAATTATATTTATTTGTTCAGCTAGTTACGATTAATAATTAACAGTCGTATAACCACTTAGAGCTACTCACGTTTCAAAAATATATTAACGTCTTGTAACTGTGGAATGTTGTCTTCCCGGTAACCGCAGTACTTAACAAGTTCTGGCCAGTTCTCCAAGTATTCCCTGCACGCGTGCTTCACGTACAATTTGTGGAGTTCACGCATCACGGTACCCCTGCGATACATGATAAAACAGGAATTTGAAAATTGAGGAAAATATACGATAAAAATCATCGGTTAAAAAAAAAATCAAATATAGACCGGAATAAGAGGGTTAGAACAAAACATTATGTCACGTAATTCTTTATTGGTTATATTTCGGAAAAAAAGCATGCACGCGCGTGTCTTTATTGGTATCGTTTGTATCGTGGAAAAACCTAAAAGGTTATATATAATTTATATAACATATTATGTACAATATACATGTGTATCGATTTCGCTGAAGAAATAAAATTGTTTTTGACGTAATTATTAACGGCGACATTTCATATGCAGACGGTCACCATATCCTATTTGCAGGATTAAATTCACTTCATTACACGTCTTGACAATTTTGCAGATAAGATTAAATCATCAATGAGTGTATTCATAAAATATGGACGTGCCTTAGTTACGCATATTTAATGACCAATTAGATTTTCGCAGTAAAGGTATAAATTATTTATAGTTGTCAATATAAATACTCTTTATAGGGATAATTCAATAATAGTTGAAATATCAGTGTCGATACAATTGAAATATACACGACGTTAATTCGATATAAATTAATTACTGGCTGAGAAACCTAATAGAACTTGAACTTTGTCGATGAATAAACTATTTGAAAAAAAATAAATAAATCCGGAAATAATAATAGAATAATAAAAAAAAAAAAGTGTAAAGATTTGTTCTGTTCTAAATAAAATATTATATATTTATAGCAATATCTGAACTACCTATGTATTTTTGATGTTAACAAACACAGATAATTTATTATCATTAATTATAAAATCAGTAACTGTAGTTTATGATCTAGTAGTACAAGTATTTTAAAGCAGTTGTTTTTAATGTAGTATAGAACTAATGGCTTCTTTTTTACCGTGGTTTATAAAAAGAAGGTGTAAAAAGATGGTTAAAATATTTTTTGGTCCATAGAAAAAAAATGTGAAAGAGTTACTGACTTTATGATTAATTAATACACTCTTCAGTAATTAATAATTGGTAATACAATTGAAGCGATTAAGTACGCACCACGTCTTGATTTCTTCTGGTGTGTACTGAACTCTTGGTATTGGATGTCCACTGAAAAATATCATCACGTTTTATGTATTGAATAAAAAAATAAAAAGTTTTAAAATAATAATATAAAACATATGGATAGTTATGTTGTATTATATTACAATAAAAGTTCAGTTTTAATTGCGTGTGTCATTGTAGTAAATTTACTACCTATGGTAAAAATCAATTTGTCATTAATGTTTAATGTTAAAAATAATACTTACTATTTATAAGAGTTTGCTATGTTTGCGAATTCGACACGCCTTTTCCGATAAACGGGATCTTTAAATCCCTGAGAAAATAACAAATGCAATTATAAACGAGACATTGTAAAAAGTATAGAAATAGGTATTAAACAATTAATTAAATGCTGTATGAATAACTTACAGGATGATCAGCATCTAACTCTGTTCCATACATTAATACTCGTTGAGCTCTATCCAAATCAGAAATTTTTTTCGGAAACCACGGAAGCTCAAACTCTGAGAAATCTTAAAACACAAACATTTAAATTAAATGAATAAGCAATGATAGATTTATTAAAATCTATATAAATATAAATAAATAGGTAACCGAAATAGCGTTGTTTTATTTGATTTTTGTTAGAACGCCTCATGAACGTTACTAAAGGGAAAAAATGTTATTAAAATAAAAATAGTTTCTTTATCTAATATTACTATGATCATAACTTGAATAATAAATTATACTTAATTTGAATATTGATAATGAAATTAAAATAAAATATAGAGCGTATTGGTACAATATGAGTTATTCATAAAAAAAAAAAAAATACTTAATTATAAATTATCATATTATTTGAAATGTTTTAAAACAAATTTAATTTGAATAAGCTTAATTGCGTTTTTACCGAAACTGGCCGTTGCTGACATCGGGGTAGGAGGTGGTACTTCGGCACCACTCTCATACGTCGCTAAATTTATAGCTGCAACCTCACGCTTTAACATTCCAGTCAACTGCTCCATTTTTTTATTGTCGCATTCCACGTCTACCAAAATTTCGAATTCTGATTTTCTACGGTGAGATGGTCTAGATTCAATGTGCAAAACATTGACACCTAAATCCTAAAAAATTAAATTATATAAATTACCTATACATGCTGCGAATTGAGAATTATAAAAAAAGTAATAATGATAAGTTATATTATGATTATATTTTGTTGTCATTAGAATTAAATATTCTAACTACAAAGTCGATATCAAATAAATTATGAATCGAACAAACATAAATATCAATAATAAATAATAATAACAATATGTGATTAACATCTTCCACAATTAAATAATTTATTATTTTTTCACTATAAATTGTTAATACATTTAGATTTGTATTTTTCATTGAAGGGTTTAAATTTCAAGGCATTATATTTATTATTAGCGGCATTAGCGCATCATAACTAATAGTTATATAAGCACATAAAACGAAAAAAAAATTGAACTATTTTACTTACCTGCTATATATTTATACACAAATATATTCTGACTTATGGTGTTAATATTAATATAGATGGATTATAATTAAATTATTAAGTCCCATGGAGTTTTCATCTAAAAATTATTTTTTATGCTTTTTTATACTATATTTTGATTTCATGTTTGCTTATTCAAATTATATTATCTAAATTAAGTAAAATAAATTATTTAATGTAATCTAATTTACTTACTTGAAAAACCTGAAGCGCTCGAGCTAGTCCACCAACTTGATTTTTCAACGAGAATATTACAGAGTTTCTCGAATCGAGTCTTGTTGGATCTGATCGACCACTCACTGCAGATCTCGACTATAATATGAATAATATTTAACAATAAATTTTATTAAACTTTGTCAATATTAGAATATCATACAGCTGTTTGAGATGTCTCCCTCAAAGTCCAATCTTCTCCAGTTCGGTAAAGCCATAGACCAAGAAGGCTCTTACCAGATCCACTCATTTTGAACTTAAAAGTTTAAAAAACAAAATTATTCTTGAACGATGTACATAAAAATAAGCATACATTTTATAATGAATTCCAATTATAACTTAATCAATTATGTATAATTTTATCTGTTAAGTTAATTAAAAAAAAAATTAAAGATTTTTGTGTGTTATTTAGGCATGAATATTATTAAATTTGGGAGAAATATTTTTTCTTCACTGAATAATTTTTACAATTTGAACTTCTAACTATATAATAACATGTAGAATTGTATCAATGACTAAAATATTGCATTCAAGAGAATTTATTAATTAAGATCATCCCAACTATTATTTTTAATAATTAATTTTTTTAAACATCACATAATTTCCAAATAATTTAATTATTTATTATTAAAAATATTTTGTAGTGGGACAAAATTTTATTAATTATTTTTTTTCAGTTAAGAATCTCATTTTTCAATTGTAAAACAACAAGATCATTTATTGTAAAAAAAGACGATAATATATACGTTTTAATAATAAATGTTTTATTTATACTTTATACATATAATTTGATATGTTGATCGTGTATAATTACAATTATTAAAATCTACACGGTTCCTTAATTTTGCTGAACGGAGTTGCAGCCACATTGATTGCTGTCGTAGTCTCTACTTTCCTCTCACCATAATCAAAATATTACACACTGTATTCAATTTCAATAAATACTAATTATTCCTATGACTCGTATTTAAAAACATTTCAATTTTAATTTATAAAAAATACATATTTTTACGATTTTTGAAACATGACACAATTAACTACTATGGGATAATAATTAACCATTGAGTCCGTTGTACAAAATTATGTTAAATTAGCGCAAAAATAAAATATTACATAAGTAAAATGTACATTTTTATTCACTCCATACTTTAACCATTGTATTAAGTACTATAAAATAAATTTTCACCATTTTAATATATGACAATACTGTTTTGGTAAACAACGTATACACTAATATAGTGAAGAATATTTTAAGTAATTGATAAGTATTGTGAAATATTAATTATTAAATGATCACGAAAAGCATCTATTTTAAAAATGATATATATTGATTTTAGTTTTATCTCAGCTCAGCAATAATGGTTAAAATGTCAATCAATTTATGGCTAAGCGCAACTAGTTTTAAAAATAGCCGATACCTATGAAAAAAATATCAAATCAATAATTACGTATCAATTATTATAAAATTTATATCATTATTTATCCCTTACAGCAATAAAAAACACTCAAATATCAAAAGTATTAAATTAATTTAGGATTGTAAAAAAAGGTTATTGTGGGTTGAAATTTGTAGTTTGATAACAAAGTCTACTAAGTACTTTTTAACGTAAAAACTAATTTAATATTACAAATCAAAATGGAAACCTACACAATTATCAACTTTAAATTATTTTATTAACTCTTAAGTCTTAATAGTTGATTTACTTAATAATTCATTGCCGTATTCGCTTAATAATTTCCATGAGTTCCTGTAGGTTTCCGGGAAATCATTCTTAATAATAATAGGATGTTATATAAAACGTCATAGGTACTGTTGTTTAATAAATATTAACACAAATTCCCAATACACTAAATATTCGTTTTTCAAAAAAACTATTAATCCATTAGTAAACATTGATGAATATTTCTCATTTCTTTGATTGTTTATTACTCTTAAAGCGAAAAAATCGTATTAAAATCTTTTAAAGCATAGAAACTTTGTTGTTTAAATGTTCACAAAGAGAAAACGTATATTCAGTGATCACGAATCTTAAGTAGGTAACTAAAAAATTATAAGGAACAAAAAATATTGTACAATATATAAAACGAATAGACATTTTAAAATAAATAATTAAATAATTTGATTTTAATAAATCAATTTTTTACACCACATTTAGATTTTAATAATTATCATTATTATTGTGTAGCCAAATCAACTGATAATAATATATTTGTGCACAATTTTTCTGAAATGGACTCTTTCAATCAAAATCGGTAAATTATGTTATACCTACGTATTTATTATTCTTTTGTGCAATACCTAATATTTCAATTCGTTCGCTAAAAAGTGATTGATTAAAAAAATACTAATTACAGAACAAAAAATATATAATCACCATGAGCTTAATAAAAAAAATAAATAAAAATAGGAATATATATTTTATACGCATTTAATTTTATTGTGTATATAATAATCGTTCTACGATTGTTTGATATATGTCATTAAATTTATTGTTATATTAAAAATCAAAAATATTTTTCAACACAAAAGAAGTTTTTATATTTGTAAATATGCCCTTAAATAGATGTAAAATGAAAAAAAATACACATATAGTTTTATAATATTTAAGAATTCATAAATTAAAAACTCAAGATCTATAAAAATTGCAATAATATACAATTAGGCTACATAAAGCTGTACCTAATTCGGCTACTTACAACTAGTAAGGTTCTTATCAGTATATTTTTTACATATTATCATAAAATTAATTTGTTTTTAAATAATAATTTTTATAGTTATTATGGGCTACAGCTTTTTAAATTAATGTATTTGATTTTGAAATCATGTTTTCACAATACAATTTTTTTGATAGTTATAAGTTATAACTTTTAGTATTGCTTAACTATACTTTTCAGAAGTTATGAGTAATTGCCAAAATACTCTTTTTCGGTATTCTATACTTTTATATTTTTCGTGTAAGTTTTTATTTCCTACATTCGACTAAAGATAAATATTTATAATCATAGAATTTTACAGGTTTGTGAGTAGTAGTACAAATTATGGTTGTTCCAAAAAATTATGGAAGATGTATCTGTTTATTAAATAAAATATATATTTAGATTAAAATGAAAACAATAATATCAAACTTTTGTGTGTGACGTTTTACTTTTTGTTTCTTATCCCTTAGATATTTTTAGTCCTATAGCGTACGAATGAATATTGTTAAAAGTACTTGCGTACATATATCAATATTTTATTATTTATTAGAGACTTCAACTTGAAGCTTTATATAATACATGTCTATATGTCATTAAAATATGTATTATATTAACGATAATTTATATAATTAATATAATATACTGACCTATTCCGATTTGGCAGCGGTAAGCGCAACAGTTTTCCGAACAACCGGCGATTCGTAAAACCGACGACTGTGTACCCGCTAGGCTATGTCCGAGTCGCGAGATTCGACGGTAAAGAATGAAATAGCGACGGATTAAGGGAGAGTGAGAGAGACCACGAACTCCACCGGAGTCTTTGGCCGGCGTCGACGGGGGGGGGGGGGGGAGGACGGAAAGCGCCCCCCGCGAACGCGATCCGCTGATTGGCCGAACCAACGCCGCCGCCGCATTGGAGGCCCTTCGAGTGTTATAAAAGTGTGGCAACGGTATAATAATACGGGTTAGGTGCGTTCGACTCACCGTTAATGTATGGTAAAAGAATTCCGAAACGCAACACAAGAATCGTTTTATCATTCTCTGCTTTTATATATATTATATTATATATTATTATCGCCCGATCGCTCTTGCAGTGCGCTTATGTAGCGCGTGTTTATATACATGCAAGCGCGAATGGTTTGCCGCCCTCGACGGCGGTGAGTTAGGTCTAGCCACTCGAATTTCATTAATTCCACTACGTTTGGTACATCAACGCGTTTAGCCCGATATATCTGTTCGGCGGATCTCGACGAATCCCATAAAATGTAATATAGCGTATATTATTATACGTCTTATTAAATGTGTTTTCATAATGTATAGTATTATAAGACACATAACAAACGAAGTTGCCGTCGTCCAGTGAAATGTATATGGATATATATATATATTACATACGTACAGTATTAATGTAGGTGCATCCATCGCATCGAAAGTATAATTTAATATATATTATTGCGATATTCGCTCTTTCTATTTCATTATAGCTGCGGCCGCGTTTTCGTTTCGTTCAGATTTCTCGTCCGCACCGTATAAATAACGCGATTGTCAACAAAAATGTGAACCTCTATGACGCACACGATAAGTAACTAAGGTAATTTATAAAATTATAACCCACTGGCGCCATGATACATGTCAGTATGTCATCACCGTTGCTTGGACGGTACTGGCAAATCGATTCGTTGTATTCTATCGTGTACGTTTGCCGATTGGCATAATATTAACTGTAGGTACACAGATTGATTGTAATCATTTCCGTTTTTCTTTAATGATGAATAATAGGTATATTAAAGTTATGGTTTCTTTGGAATTTTCAAGTATAATTAAAACCGTATTAAGAAACTATTGAATTGTTTTTAATATGGAGTGTCCTGTGGCGATATAAACTTCTGTTTTTTTAAATTAGAAAGTGTATTTTTTACTGTAAATTTATTGGTGGATGATTCTTAAAATAATATTAATGTTTATAATTCAAAATGTTTAATAAGTAGTTTACCACAGTTATCAAAATGTTATACTAAGGAGAAATTTCTTTAAAGATCATAAAAAAAAAAAAAAAAAAAATAGATGTAATATTGAATTTAGTATATTTATTATACTTGGATCATTTTTATAAATTATAAATATTTAAAGAATAATATCAATTACCAAACATTTTTAAATCACCATAATTCCCCTTATTTTCCATATCCAATATCATGAACTTCTATCTTTTACATACAACATTAAATAACTTAAAAACTACATTTCCCAAATTTTATTTTGATACTTACAACAAACTTTTCATAAAAAATGTATGTTAAATAATTCACAGTATAAGAGGGAGGAAGGTAATCATTTGAAAAATATTTATTTGTATCTTCACAAAACACAAAATTCTAAATATATTTGAAGATTTCAAAAATCAAATTTTAAATAACTGCATATTTTAAGAAAATAGCTTGGGCGTGTTTGTATGGCGAATAATTATGTACAATAATGATAACTATGATACTAATATCTGGAGCACTTTTAGAATTTTCCCCGTCAGAGATTGGGGAAAAAAAAAACATAAAAATAAATAAGAAATGTCCATTAACAATTTAACCGAAAACAATGACGTCTGCGGAGAGGATAAAAGGGATCGATACCTGACGATTGCACTCCAGATCCCGCATCGCCCTCACATCAGTCTTGGAAAATTTAAGTAGGTGCGTATACAGTAAACCTACACCGGCCAATCAATATCACTCAACACGCCAATATCTGTAAATATATACAGTTGTACGTCACGGTTGAGTGCTATTAGCCGTTTGTTTTACCCAAAATCGAGGGCGACCGCCGACGGTATAGATAAGTAGATATATTAAAAATATATAGGTATAACGTATAACTTTTTTGTATTGTATACGTGTTCCGATTAAAAAATTTATTACAGTCAGTTATAATGTCGTCGTTATTCCGTACCAAAACATCGGGCGACACGTGAGTTGATTTTTTTAATTCTTGCGAGAGTATTAAACCGTAAAATATATAATAATATATTAGATTGCATATAGTTGCGAAATATTAACGCTGACATTTAACAAATCGATGATTTGGTGAGGAAGGTGGTAAAATGTACGGACTTTAAATACTGACTATTTTCGTATTATTTTTCATTTTCCAATTGCTTAAATCAATCTAAATTTTAAATAAAATTCAGCATTTACGTTTGTTTTTTTTTTTATCTTTAAACATGATATTGTTGTCGGATATCATAACATGTACAAATTACAATAATTTCATACTGTATATAGCCCATATTATGATCAATACATATTAACTTTATAATATTACTATTTTGTTTAATATAAATTGAGGAATTTATAGGAATTTTTAAGCTCTTTCCTATTTGGTTTTGTTTTTGATAACAGGTGCCGATTGTTCTTCCTTTTCTACATACCGAATTTTAAATAATCACTCGGGTTTTATGGAGGTGTTTAAAGTGAGTTCAGGAGCTGAAATCTTTATAATTTTTACGGTTCTTATTCCAGTGAAGTTTCTAGAAAAACTGAAATTTTTGTTACGATTTCTTTTCGGTTTAAAAAAAAAAAACAACTATAATTTCGGTTCTTTTCAATTCTTATAAAATAAAAATTACGTTTCCAGTTTAGGTTTTATATTTAGAAAAATTTGGTTCCATTTCGATTCTTTAAAAAATATTAGTATTTTCAATACTCAATTGATAATATTAATTATGGCAAGCCAATAACAATTTTCAACCAAATATCCTACCAATTGCTTAGGACTAAGGGGAAGACTAAATAAGTAAAAAATACTCACCATTATCACTTAATGAGCATAACCCTGTTTCAAATAGCCCTTTTTGTTTTGTTTTTATTTTTTATATTTAGTGTTCTTTACCTTAATATAATCTGTGATTTCTATGTCAATATTAAAACATTTATGGATATTTCTACATATCAATACAAACTATTAAAAATAATAAAGTTATTACAAAACCGAAATTAATTGTAAAAAATCTTTACAAAAAAATATTGGTTCCGATAAAGTTACGGTTTTGAAATAAATTTAAATAAGGGTTCCGGTTTTGAAATAAATTTAAATAAGGGTTCTGTTTTGAAATTAATTTAAATTAGGGTTTCGGTGAGGTTCCGATTCTCAATATTCAAAGGGTTCCAATTTCAATACCGGTTCTTTTCGGTACGGTTCCAGTCCCTAGTTTAAATATACAATTTACATTGTTTTATTGATTTTAAAAACTTTCTTTATTTTTTTTTTTTTTTTTGATTTATTCAATCATTTTATTATCCTTAAACTCGTGTAGTATAATCATAACAGATTTTTCGTATTTATTTTTTTAAATTTATTTCGATAAACCTATATGCATAAATAAATAAAATATCATCAACATACTGTAACATCTGTCACTTGCAATAGTACATACTAAATATTATACACTATAGAATTTATTAACATAATAAAATACCTACACTACACATCTCGACACTTTTTAACTCCGTCTCAATTATTATTTTGTCATAAAAATTACACACTACATTTTATATTTTAAGCCGAACTCATGTTTTTATTGATAATGACTTCCTACAGGCTACAATAATACGCTAACCTTTAGCTACCTAACATATATAAAAAAAAATAAAGATAATATTTCAAAATAAATTTAAATTTAAATTATCATAATCAGATCAATTGGAGAAACTTTGCTATCAAACAAGTCAAATTCATTGACCTCGTTAAAAATGTTGCACGCGAAACTCACGCAACTATAGTCTATTGTAGACACCACAAAATAGATAGGTACCTATCAATGCGTATTAAGAACATGATAATCATATTATTTTAAATCGTTTAATCACATATATAGGTAAATATAAATTATTATACAAAATAAAAAGTGAATAAATGTACAGACTTAACTTTTAAAATATTTTAGTGATTATTATTATAATAAATATAAATTATATAATTTTTTCCGTACAATATCAAAATTCTTCACAGTGTATAGTGCCTGTATAATTGAACGATAATAATTAAATATTCAAAACTGTGTGTTGACGTTTTGTATTATTTGCTTCTTCAGATTACATGGTAAATAACATACCTTTTCCGATGACAAACATTCCACATCAAGTCTGCTACTGTCATTCCCACAATGCACGTCAACGCTAACGTTAATCTAATATACGCTTATTATTAAAAAGATTTTATCTCAAAACGTTGCCTTTGTACACAATTTTACTTATTAATCCATGTTCACAAACATCCAGAAATTATATTTCTTTAGACTAATCACGCATAGTTCATATAAATCTAGTCTTAAAAATGTTCGAAAAACGTGTTTTGCTTCGTGTAACGTAGATAATTAGATTTTAAAGGATACTCAAATAAAATTATTAATTATTAAGTTAGCAATGCTCTCCGGTCTTGATAAAAGGAAAGGAGATTTGTATGGGAATATTCTATCATATTGTAGTAAGTATAATAATTTGTTAAAAAATAATTAATTTTTCGTTTACAGAAAAAATGTGTACTTAAAGCTTAAACATCATTGTTAAAACAAAAAAAAAAAAAAATATGACGTTATTATCAAAAGAATCTATTAAATTTCCAACAAAATCAATGTTTTTTTTTTTGTCATTTTGAAAATAAATTACACTTAACATTCTAAAAATGTCTAATAACAATGTTACTAAACGGAACTCCATCTAGCAATGTTTTTTTTTTTTTTTTTAAGCAATG